TTATTACCTTTTATTTGAGACCATGACAAAGGCAATTAAAATGGTGATTTTGTTCTTAACAATTATTTTCCAACTTTACCTCAATTTAATGCTATAAAATATTTGACTGCGGCAACAAGAATTAAAAATATTTGCAAGATCGGATTTGTTACAAAACACAAAAAGTATTTATCTGAAATCAGTAAATGTGTAACCACTTTTAAAACTTTGTACCAGTAATCCCCATATATACCTTTAGTTCAGGTCACTGTGCATTTTGTATTTTTGCCACCTGTTGTTGTTGGTTTCGTAGGTAGTGTTGTTGTTGTTTGCTCTATGCATATTTTGCTCATGTTCGACAAGTAAAAAGGACATGTCGTGTCAGTTTTTTGCACTTATATGGGCCAAGATGCCCAACACATTGGACGCCATTAGCGGCCATCGGGATTTGCATGCACGAGCCGAGTCTCGCTTTTACTTTCACATTAATTGGGCAGCCGGGGAGGTTGGAAAGTGAAATGAGGGGTGGGGGGTGGGGGAGGGGGAAAACCAGAAAGCATTTAACGCGCGTTTCGCGTGAATGCCTTCCTCACTCACCGCCCACAAAAAGTGACCGCATCAGGGGCTTTAATTCCAGGTAAACAGTTCTGCTCTCTGCCCCACTTCTACATTCCCCAGTGCAATGAACTGCTGTTGTTGGCCCAAAACGCAGAAAAATAAAAACCGACCGAGGAACGGCAGAGCAACGTAAAGTTCCCAGCGGATCTCAGCTGATGATTAGCCCCTTGATGACCACTATGCAAATACAAGCCTTTCTTTCAGATAAGAGCTTTTCAAATAACACTAATTTGCTAAAACACTGGGCTTCAAATATCAACATCAACTATGTTTTTGGTTACATTAAATCAAAGTTTGTTTTCATTATTAAATGATATACAAAACCAATGGGTATATATTTATTTCAAAGTACTAAAAGCTATTTAAAGCAAATTATTTTAAATATTTGTAAACGATTTGTTGTCGAGAAATATGTGCAATACAACACATTGAATGTAAATTGAACAATCCGGAAAACCACATTAGATGAATCTGTCAAAGTTGAGCTCATAAATTCCTGCACAGAGCGAGTGCATTTTTTTCCTAGACCTTTGCTTTTTTCGTCTCTGTCTGCCGCCACTGTTTCCTCCTATTGTTTTCCCTTGATTTTAGCTAACTGAACGCATTAATCTGCGGCTGCGTGCGACTTTTTGCCACCCACAAAACGCCCACACACCCACTATTTACCCCTTCTTTACCCTTCATGCTGCCGGAAGACTTGATGAAAATCTTTGTTTTCGTTTCGGGAAATGCTTAAATTATGTTGCTGAGGCGACGACGGCAACGTTCGTTGTACTTGACTGCATGGGAACCGAAAACTGCAAATGGCAAATCTTCAGTAGAAACTCGAGAGGGGGTTGGTATTCCAAAGTGCAGCAGTTGACAGGCAAATGAAGTGCAGCAATTTACATAGTTCAACATGCGAAAAGCAAGGCAAGTGTGGAAGTGAGATACAGGAGAAGGAGTGAGAAAGTGTAGGGCCCATCATGAGATCCAAATTCTAATCACTAAAGAAGCTTTCTTGGCAACGAAAAAAGGTGAAAGGTAGTACTAAACCAATGAAGACTTAGCATTGTCCTGAAAGTATGGAAGAAATCATTAATTGTATCTCAAGACTAACTATATTTATTTCTGTCTTATATTGGAATAATAACCCTTTTGGTGGCATACACAGCTAACATTTATGGCTCTTTCCACCTTCAATTTAGATAACTAAGGCGAAATTTATAGTTTGAGTAAGCCACAAAAGGAGTGTGAAGAAAAAGCTGACGGTATACTTGTCATTCTTGTGCTGTGTTGCCATTACTGCTACTTCTGTTGCTCGTGTTGCTTGGCGAATGTTGCTACAACGTGTGCGCATAAATATTTAAATGCCAAAAAGTCACGTCTTGAATAATTGTTTAACTTGTGTGTGCAGATAAAGGGGGTGGGGGGGGGCTCATGTGTATTAGGGTGCGGGACGAGGTTAGCTTGCTATTGCTATTTTAAGAACTTTTTCAACTAAGCTGCAGCTGTTACAGCCTGTTCCATTTCTCTGAACAGCCCCCAACTGGTCTTGTATCCTTATTTCGCCTGCGACTTGCGTCAACAGGCGAAAGGATTCATTATTATGAGCGCAAATTACTCAAACTCCCATACCCATGCACAATTAAGTAATGCGTGTGTGTGTGGATGGTGGTGCGATTGCATGTGTGTGCTGCTGTTAATTTTCATATTAAATCCGTTAAAATGTGCAAATACCCAACAGGCACTCACCGAGCACGGTCACGAAGCACTTCTCCGGTCCAAAGATGTCAGCGTGTCACGCTTTTGACAAAAAAAAAAACAGTGAAAAATTACAAGGTAGTGTTTAACTGGCGCCCAACGTAGGGCAATTTTATATAGTACACTCTATCTTTTATCACAATCTAAGCTGTATGATTCATATTCTTCACACATTAGGTATGCAACTTCATTCGTTCTGTAATCACGCAATCATCTCTGGATCGAACCGCACTAAACAAAATCCATTCAAGATGAGGCGAGGCAAAGTCAAGTCAAAAACGACGACGGCGCGTGCCACCCTCGGGTGGGGAATTTCAATAAACGAGCATCGTGTAAGTAAAGTTATTAAAGGTACTTATACAACCGAACCACCAGTAGCAATAGTCCCACCGCCGCCCACATATAGTTACCTACTTACCTGTGTAACTACTTACATTATGCTTATTACTTTCACCCACTTTCCACGGCATTTTCGGCTGTTCAAATGCGCAAAATGTAATACTGGTTTGTATATGTGTGCGGGTATGTCGGCTGGGGTTGTAAAATGTGTGGGGCAACGGTAGTCTCACTGTATCAAATTGGGTGGGCAAAGTACCTACCTCGTAGGGAATGGTTAGCCAAAATGGGGTGACAGAAAATTAACGGGGGAAATCAGTTTGTTTTAGATATACAAATTGTTGAAAATATTAAGTATCACTTCAGTTTAATTATGGCTCAATAAACTGTAATTGGAGCTCATACTTTAATTGCCCTCATTCAATGAGAATATAGTAATTGTTTCGTTATTTTGATGTTGAGTGTGAAAATGTTAATAAGTTTTAAAGTCCACTCATGCCAAAGTTGAAAATGCTTTTAGATAGTTGTACTTTCGAATTTGCCACAACAACTTCCACATAATTGTCAATTAGGTTAGGTCAGGTGGGCATGTGCAGGGTTGTATTCCGGTTCGACAAGCATGTGCAGGCCGGTGCTTGACAGCAAGAAGCTAAAAAAATGCCAAACACAACTGTACCGCATCTGTGTGGCACAACATTGTGCCAGGCCAACCAGATTGTTAATAACTGGCAACTGGCACGTGCTTACCTGCAGCTAACATAGCTTTCTCCAGTTCCCTGCTCTACCCCTTTAATCCCCTTTAGTCCTCTCCTTTAAAAGGAAGATGGCCATAAAAAGCCAAGGCAAAGGAAACATTTCCACATGCCCACAAATTAGTGGCACATTTGGGAAAAGTTCGCCATGTGTTCGGATGGGGGATGTGAGTCTTTTGTGGCTGTCATGCAGCAAAGTTGCAGCCACCGAACGGGCCACAAAAACAGCATTAACTAGCTGACAATCCTAAAAGTGGCTGGGAAATACGAGATACAGGTGCCAAGCTAAAAGTAAAATGGCCGGATAACAGGATGACCGAAACATACATGGTTGGATGGTTTTTACGTGAGTACGTATCACCTTCGCAAGTTCGCTAGTATTCCCCCCCCCAAAACAAAAAAAAAGAAAAATAATTTATTTCTGATTTAAATTACTTCGTTGGCTTACATAAATTCATCAATTTCAACGCATTCGACGATTGGAGCCCCCAGGCGATCTGCAACGGAAATGCCTTCCGATAATGTTTTTCTTTGTGCATATTTGCAGCTTAATTGAAAACCAACAAGATGGTGATGACAACGAAAAACTTCAACCGAAGTACTATACGTATTTTGTGCCATTCGTGTAAACATATGAACACGTACATATCTGTTTCTATAAGCACGTGGAGCTGTCAAGGACATGAAATCGGTATTGTTGTATTGTTGATTCTGTTGCGTTCCGGACAAAACGCTGTGGAAAGGGGAGGCATACGATTCTTTCAATCAATAAAGAGCTCCCGGGCGGCTCCATTCGCCAAAGCTCATTACAAACAATAAACAAACAACGATGGCCAACCGAAATTAAAACAATGTGGAAAAAAAACAAAGCAAAATGAAGGCATAATGAAGTTAAATGGTGGTTTTTGGGTGAATGTATTTATGCAGACATACCCTTCTTAATATTTCTTTTAAATCTAATCGTGATATGTGGTGATTGTGAATCCACTAAAGGATCCGACTGATATCCTCATTGGCATGACCTGTCAAAGGCTATCAAATATGTATAAATAAGCGGCTTTCGGTTGCTATCAAATGGTCACCATTATCACACTATCCACTTTAAAGTGCCAGAACAGAACGGTGAGGCAATCACACATTTTATGGGCTTTGATTGCTTTTGACATTTATTGATTTATTTGGCCAGAAGGATATGCCGTGTGGTGTGCGTGCGAGTGCAGCTGGGATGTAAATATTTATAAATTGCTGATATGCAATTAAAAATTACACCAACAACAGCAAAATGACAGCTGCGTCAGGTGCAGGACCACATGCACATTCAAATTAAGTTTCGATGCAGCTCTTTAAAATGCAAATGCGGGCGAAAAGGGTAGGAGGTTTTCACAGTCTCGGATTAAAAAGTATTATTCTTGAAGCGCACAGTAAGCTTATAATCATAAAAATAAGCAAAAAATAAGATGAACAATAAATTAAGTTGCTTTCAACTGCATAAACACTCTTTATTATTTGGCTGATAGCCGTTTATCTTAGACTTTAACAACAATTTGTATTCAAATGTACAACAATAACCGCTCATTCACCATAGTAAGTGGTGCGAAGGAGTGCAAAAAACTGATACGACATGCTGATTACCTTCATAAAGGTATTAAACGATATTGGTGGAAAGGTGGGCGGTCTAATGGAGGCAGGTTTCTGACTGCGCGCAATAATAAATTTCAGGATGCGTTTGTATTTGGTGCTGCAGGGCAACCAGTTCTGATTGAAAGCGGAGTGTCCAATGCGAGAGCTCTAAAATGTTTACATAATATATAATCAAAAATCAATGTTATATATTGCTCACAGCTCACCGAAGATATCATTTCATCGCCGTAATAGCAAACCACAAAGACTTGAACCAGCGAGGCCGAAAAAAATATAAAGTACAGCACAATATCCTCTACATTGGAGGCTGTGATCTGAAAGCCAGCAAAGCAAATCACCAGGGAAGCGGCAATGAAGTTCCAGAGGATCAGAAAGCTAAATATGGTGTTAACCTCCTCGCTGAGTCTGCAAACAAATATTAGTTAAATCGCTGAGGATTTAAAGTCACTTTTAAAGAGGTCTAAAAGTATTTTACAAAATATTTTAGATTGAAATTTCCATAGATAAATGATACATTTTTTGTAGAATACTTTTAAAGCTGTTTTTTTTAAAGTGATTTCGAATCTCTTGGAATTTAAAAAAAAACCCTTTCAACCTACTCCAAAGCTCTGGAATGATAGACGACCAAATTGTGAAGATACGTGATATTTTCCTCGTCCGTATGCTCACCGCCATCGTAGGCCTCCAAATCATTGGCAATAAAGTTAAAGTGCATGGTCAGCTGGGTTATGGTCGTGATGAGGAGAAGATCGACGCAAACGTAGGATACGCCGGCCACATAGGCACAATGGGCCAGTCCCCAATAGGAAAACCAATAGACTGTCAGATCCGTTTCGGCGTCATAGGGAAATAGTATGTGAAAGCCGTAGTTCCGTTCGAAAATCTCGGAGCCCATTAGGTAGTACTTAATGGTCGACTTGATGGCCGGATAGAAGCTGAACGATGACGTATATGTCATGCAGAGTATGGTGAAAAGGTTCATCACCCTGCCCATATGCTTCTGGTAGTAGGGTACTTCATATTTTCGCTGCGACTCGACGTCCATGGGATATATCTCCTTGAGATTATCCAGTAGGTTCACCAAACGTTGCTTATTCACAGTCAATCCGAACTGTTTGAAGTCAGCCATGAAACTGAAGCCGATGCAAGGTGCCACCGCAGTGGCCTCCAGCAAAGTTGTTGTCGACATGATGTGCACTATAAAGTAGGCGATCTCACCCACCACATAAGCATTGAAGTTGAGGAATCCGAGCACCAGATAAAATCGCAGCAAATAGCGCCGCACAAGATTGGTATCCCGGGCCGAGTACAGATCCTCGCCGATGGTCTTGTAAAATGTCATTGGAAAGCTGGTGAGCTCGTCAAAGGTGACAGTCTCATCGTCACCCTTTGGCTTACGTTTGCGGAACAGCATGACGATATGGTTTAATCATCGAATCCACTGGACTCTAGCCTTTTATAGTGGCCACCATAAGGCGACCATTAAATTGTCATGGGCCAGCCTAACCTGACCTCATAATTACTTAATTGAATTTGAGGTAATTGCAGACACCTGCCATCATTGGCTTGCTAAAATATTAAGTCCTTAGAACTGACCCGAAGGAATGTTCCCAGGGATACACAGAGAAAAAACTAAGGACCATCTGGACAGATATATATATTTATTTTTGGATGCCCAGTAATGATATGTTAATATCTAACGGAAATATAAAACTTATTAATAGAATTAATTCCAACAATGTCCATTACTATTCAGAGATTTTAGAACCATTATTTTTTTTATTTTTATTTTTTTTTGTTTCCATTTACAAAAAAGAAATGGTATTGATAAAGTATGATTCATAATATTTGTGGTAAACTCACTCCCACAATATCTAAGTGTTTTGATTTACTTGTTACCAGAAACCCAAGTTTAACAAATATTTTTTTAAGCGTACATATTAAATTCCCGATGGCTGATACGAAATTAATTCGATTAAATGCCAGAAGAATTTGTCGAAACAGGCCTCACAATTCACCAGCATTTGACATCAAAGACAAGTTTGCAAATCAAGTGGCAAATGTAAGTACCATTGTGCCTGGGGAGTCCTTGAGCGCAGCTACTCGCAAAATGCCAAACACATATCCTTACACTTTTGCTGCGAGTCGGATTTCGGTTATGACGAGTGTGTGGTTTCCATAACGCCCACCGCCCTTCTTTGGGTCTTCTTCGCATTTTGACATTTCAATGTTCAAAAGGTTCTGGGGTCGCAGCCATTTTCAATTATTCACTATTATTCTTATACCAAATACATGTTTATACGTATATCTTAATCATAGATGATATTTTATCGATTTTATCTCATTAGCCATGAGAACAAAGGATTTGATCGGCTTTGCTAAAACATTAGTCAATTATATTGCCAATATCCGAGCAAAGCAAAGCTCTGTCAGTTTAAAGGAATTCAATTTGTAATGTTCAGTATTAAAAAAAAAAAAAAATAAAATAAACAGTTTTAAAGAACAGAACTAAGAAATATTTATAATTTGAATATTATTTACTATTTTCGTTAAGAGTAATTAAAATATTTGTGGGGAACGAATAAAAAAAAGAAATCAAATTTCAAGCGATCCAATGATTCCTGAGAATTTTATTCATATAAATAATACCATAAACTAATCGCCAACACACAACAAAAAACATTCTCGATCACGGACATGGAATATATAAATTCGATGATTTGTTTACCTTACGCTTAGTTTGCGGTTAAAGCTTTGCAATTAAATGCTGCATAAATTACATGGCTTTGCGAATGCGTCAAATAATTTACGGCAAATTGAAATTAATTTGAGTTATATGTCCGCAACTGTATGCAAAAGCAAATCAAATGTAAACTTTAATAATAATAATTTGCAGCAAAAAAGCTAAGGGAAGCCAGAAATTTCAGACTTGCAGGCGACGCCATGCACAAACATTTTATGGCTCTGGTAATTAGTTTAAAAATACTTGTATATAGTATTTACGACCATGGCCGACGACGATGTGAGAACGAGTTGCTTTTTCGTATTTATGGGCCAGCAATCACACAACCAGTGTGTAAATATGTGTGCAGTGCGTAAACAATTAAATCGGAGATATCAGTGCTCATTGGGCTAATAATTGAGTTAAATATTTGCACATGCAAATTCAAAATAACTCAGGGCCGAGTGCCATACGCCTCAAATTGAAATACATTTTAATTTGAAGCGTTGACTCAATTATTAATGCAAATTAATTGTATTGCCATTAGCAGTGTGTCCATGTCGGTGTCTGTTATTTTACAGCAACATTGATGGGGCAACACTTGCGGCAACAGTTGTTGCAATTTCGCAGCTGTTTTTGTTGCATTAAATTAATTTCTTAATTAGATCCATGAACACATACGCCGCACACCTTGTTGTTCCTTTGTAGCTGCGTTTCTTCTGCCGATAAGTATTGTGTTTCCTCCAATTAAAATAAAACAGCACACGGGATTTGAGCTATGGGTGGGTGTAACGTATTTTCTTTCAACTTATAATACGCACTTAACGTCAGTTTCAAATTCGAGCATAAATGCATGAGTGGAAGGCGTTGGTTTGGCCTGTGTTCAAATCCAACTACCAAACTTTGTCAAAAAAAACTTTTTAAATAATTGAAGCTGACCAGAAGTATTAAAAGAAATGTTTTTGCTCTTAAAAGCTCTACTCCTTACATTTATTTTTCTTCTTAGAATACGTTTTTTTGCTTATTAAATAACAAAATCTTTAATTTTGAAATTTGTCATTTAATTTTCCCAAGTGTACTTTAACTACTGTTTTGCAATGTATTGTATAATATATGTTGTGCATTTTGTGCGCTTAGTGAACTGCATGATTAGTAGACGTGTAAACACGTCTAATATACCATATTTTAATTTGCATCGTATTAATCAGAAAACAAACGGCAAAAGCGCATCATTGGGTAGCTCTTTATTTGCAGGTAGAAGGCATAAATAATTATCCTTTCAATTTACTGGAATTGTGATACCCTTGTGCTATCGACAATGGCAATTTAAAATGGCCAATCGGCAGAAACTTCATATAGACCGGAGGGTTTGGGTCTTCCGAAGGGGAAACTTCCATCACTTGCCGATATTTGCCAATGTGTGTGCGAGTACAAAAATTTCTATTACAATTTTTGGCTCAATTTTTTCCCACTCAGGTTTGAACTATCAAAGGCCAAAGGCGCATTGGGTTTCCAAAGGGATGTGGAGGTTGTTTTTTCCCCCCATTTTCCAGCTGAGAATTGAGCTGTCGGCTATCCGCACACACAATGTGTGGGTGGCTGGGCCAATGTGTGTGTGTGTATTTTGTAAAAGGGTATTCTCGGCCATCAAAATGTTTAAGACATTTGGGTGAAATGTTGCCCTAAATTCCCTATAATCGGTCTGCATTCTTGGCCCAAAAGTTACTTTGAAAAATCAACATTCACGAGTATTATTTAGCTTTCAAGATGGAATATTTAAACACAAAAATGTATATCATTTAATTAATAATAATTATGATTTTTTATTATTTTTGTTTGTATTATACTTTTCTTGACAATTACGAACAACTTAAATTAATATGAATGCAAATTTATTTTAACAACGCAGGTTTAGCAAAATTCTTTTGATAAACACTACATATAGTTATATTTCCTAGAAATTAATTTTTTATTATAACTTAATACAATAATAGCTTTGTCTTTGAAAATGTTTTGTCCTGCACAGAATAAATTCAGAAACCCTTTGTGAGAGCATCCGATATCGTTTGAAATGATTTTCACTCAGCAATTTGCTGGCGTTTTTTTTTTTTGTTCTTTGCTGGCATAATATTCAAATTGGTTGGCCGGGCAAAGAAATGCAAACTCAAAGAAGTCCTTTCTACCTTCACTGGATGCGCATTTTTTTCTCGTACCTTCGGGATGGTTTTAGAGCACTGCTTCCGACACTTCCAACATTGTTTGCGAGTGCTGCAAAATATCATCAGTCCTTGCAGCCTTTGCAAAGCAATTTAACCAAATCGGCCCAAAAAAGCGTAAGGCAAACCATTTAATGCTCGATTTGACACACACACACACAGGAAAGTGGAAAAGCAAAAAAAAAAGTTTAAAAAAATGTACGCTTTAATTGCTCTAGAATAGTTCCATAGTTGAAAAAAGCCAAAGCCAAAACCAAAGCCGAAGCATCAAGGAAATTGTAACAAAATAAACTTAAATCGCCCATATTCTATGGCTGCGTAATGGTCAAAAGTAACGGTAAACCTGGTACAACTGCTTATTTTTCTTCGTCTTCTCCTCCATGTTCCGTTTATGGCCACTTAACGCGTTACGGCAGAAAGAAAAGATGCAGAAACTCTTGCAATTTATTGACTACCACAACCATTGGACAGCGTCCATTGATTGCCAATTGATTTGTCGAGTATGTGGGCGTGGCCGGGGTGGGATGGCAGGTGGCAGGGCGGAGAACCAGTGGATATATGAGGGCGTGGCAGTTGGTAAAATGTGGCCAAGCTAAAGTACAAAAGTCAAAGTTGATCCTCCTGCCCAAGCTTAACCCTTTTGCCCGCAAAGTATTGTATTTTGTTTGGTTTCAGAAAAATTACTTGGGAATTATAGGTAACATTTTTGATAACGCTTAACATTTTAACCCTTAGCAGAATCATAAGTTGCTTTTGTATTTAATATTTATTTAGTAAATATCTTGTTGTCCTTTTCAATTCGTTGCCCTTATAATATACACAAAATGAATTTCTTAGGGTTAAATAATTTCATAGTCAACTTATGACCCGAAATGAACAAGGGAAGCTGTCCAGGACTTGCATATTCGTTAAACTTACCACAGAAAGCGAGACAGAGGAAGGTCCTGAGCCTGAAAGGAGACAACCACATAGCTTATGCAGAAGAGACCGAGAACGGAGAACCTTGAAGGGAACTGCATCGAAAAAAAAGTCTGCTTCATATAGTTGTGATGAGTAAATAATATTAAGAAATATGTGTCTTTGGTAAAAAAGTCAGAGCTATTAATTTATAGTTACAATATTAAAGTGATGTTCTCGAAAATGTAGTCCTAACATTTGAAAAATTCTGAAATATTTCTTCCTGTGTTGTGAGGGAGATAGAAATGGAGGCCGAGCAGAAACCATAGCCACTGCCGTGCACCCGGACTCGCTCACCGGAGCCAAAATGATGGCCCGTGGCCCAGGACTCGCTGCGAAAAGGAAGGGGATCCCGGAGAGGTGCAGGATGGCGGCATGAAGTACCAGGAGGTGGCAGTCGGTAGTCGGCAGACAAAAGCACGCAAAAACTTTGTTGCAAAACACTTAGCACACACATATGAATGTGCGACAGGCGACAATAGTTTCAAAAACGATGCACAGAATAAATGTTTAAATTTA